ATATTCATTAAGGAGATTGGTTTGTAGTTCTCTTTTTTAGTTGCATCTTTCCCTGGTTTGGGAATCAAAGTGATACTTGCTTCCAGGAATGAATTTGGAAGTATAGCTTCCCTTTCAATTTCATTGAAAAGTTTAAAGAGTAATGGCAGTAGTTCTTCTCTAAATGTCTTGTAAAATTCAGCAGTGAATCCATCGGGGCCTAGGCTTTTCTTTGTTGGTAAATTTTTAATTATATTTTCAATTTCACTGACTGTAATTGGGGTGTTTAAAATGTTTTTATCTTCTTTGTTCAACTTTGGTAATTCATAAGTATCTTAAAATCTGTCCATTTCTTCTGTGTTTTCCATTTTATTGGAGTATAGGTTCTCAAACTAGGTAGTAATGATCTTCTGGATTTCTTTTGGATCTGTTGTGACTTCGCCTTTTTCATTCCTGATTGCATGGATCTGAGCCTTTTCTTTCCTTTTTTTGATAAGATTAGCTAAGGGTTTGTCAATTTTATTTATTCTTTCAAAAAACCACCTCTTTGTTTCATTTATTTTTTGTATCGTTTTCTTAGTTTCAATTGCAATGATTTCTGCTCAGATATTTATAATTTCCTCTCTTGTTCGAGCTTTGGGTTTTTCTTGCTCTTGTTTTTCTAGGAGTCTAAGTTTCATCGTTAAGTTGTTTATTTGAGCCCGCTCTGTTTTCCTAGTGTGGGCATTCAATGTTATGAATTTTCCCCGTAGAACTGCTTTCATTGTGTTCCATAGATTCCTGTATGTTTTACTGGCATTTTCATTTATTTGTAAAAACTGTCTAATTTCTTCTTTAATTTCCTCTGTAATCCACTGATTGTTTAGCAGAGTGTTGTTCAGTTTCCATGTGCTTGTGAAGTTCCTACAGTTTCTTGTGCTATTGATCTCCAGCTTGATTGCACTATGATCTGATAATATACCAGGGATGACTTCAATTCTTTTGCATTTATTCAGACCTGTTCTGTGAGCCAATATGTGGTCCATCTTGGAGAATTATCCATGTGCAGCTGAAAAGAATGTATATTCTGTATTTGTGGGCTGGGATACTCTGTAAACATCTATTAAGTCCATGTGTTCAAAAGTTTGGTTCAGTTCTATTATTTCATTCTTGATTTTCTGCCTAGATGATCTGTCAATTTGTGATAGTGGGGTATTTAAATCCCCCACTAAAATTGTATTAGTGCTTATTTGTTTTTTCATGTTACTTAATATTTGTTTTATATAGTTGGGGGCATTTATATTTGGTGCATATATGTTTATGATTGTCAACTCTTCCTCTTGAATTGTTCCCTTTATAAGGATGTAGTGTCCTTCTTTGTCTCTCTTAATGAGTTTTGTAAACCATGGAATTCTTAAAGCTTTTTGAATTTAAAACTTTGGATTTTGCTGAGGTTGAATTGACACTTTCTTTGTGGTCAGTTTTGTTCGGCTGTTTTCAAGAAAATACCACCTACCCCCAAGATCACAGACTTTTTAAAGAAGACATCTTTCAAAGTTTTTAAATTTTTCTTTTCATATTTAACAATCTTATTACACTAGAATTGACTTTGAACATGGTGTGAGGTAGGGATTCTATTTAAAATTTCCTCCATATGGCTACACACTAATTCCATAGGGATTTGTTAAATAGCACTTTCTTTCCTTGCCAGATCTGGAAAGCCATTTCTATCATATCCACACTTGTGTGGATTAAGCTCTACAATTTATATTCCTTCTGTTAATCTATTTATTTATCCCTGGAATTACAGGTTCTTTAAATATCATAGCAATTATCATTGTTTGCAACCACTAGGATAAATGTCTCGTCTTCTGTCCTCCCTGTAATCTCTTCAGACAATAGTGACTTGAGCTATACTCATCTTTTACTTCTAATAGCACCTAAATCAGTATTTCTGGATCATAAGCTTATTTGCTAAATATGGAATGAGATCAGTGGTAATACTGATTCACTGCTGTAGGTCATAAATATTCCTCACCCCCAAATCACTACCTCAACAGAACTTAGTTCATGTATGCAAGATATATCTATGTTTCCTTATCTGCAGTACTCATTAAACTGTTCAGGGATGAACTACCCTTTCTAAGGCTAGCAAATTCTTAAAGATAGCAACACCTTTCAGGAAGCATGCTTTTTATATGTAAACTAGCTAATTATCCCACACATCCACCATTTATCTCCTTTATCTAGCTCTAATATACATCAAGTCAACATAGTGCCTATCACCCCAGTGGCAGGTACAGGGAAACTAGGGACAGCCAGCCCCTATGCTCTGAAGCCCACTAAAATTACCCCCACCAACAATCCTAAATGGGCTGATCCTACCTTGCCTCGCTCTTCCTGCAGAAATGACAATAAAGCTTGCTAGCCACATTTTGTTTCCTCTGTCTAGTGATGGACATAGGTGATTTCTCATGTGTCCTGCTTCCAGGGACCTGTGAGTCTAAACTTTCTCCTTTATGACTTTCATGTTTTGTCTGCAATCCTTAACATATCTGATAAAACAAATCTCAGTAGTATTTAAAACAATGCACAATGAACTATTATTTTTAGCAAATATGAAATGATTTAAATAAGCAAACTAATATAAAAGTAAACTGTTAGCTAGCTAGTGATGAAGAAATTTAAGATTTTAGAAACAGTTTATTATTATAAACATTTGATAATTGGTAGGATTATTCAATGTGAAATGGTGATATACTCTAACTGATCACTCTTTGTACGTCTTAAAGATCAGGCTGACAGGAGTTTTATTTTTTTCAGTTATGAAGAAATCATTCCCTTAAGAACAGAAAGTTAAATTCAGAACAGTGATAATCCTTAAACCTTATCATATTACAGTTTGTCCTTTTCACACATGACAAGCTGAACTATTGAACTGCGTGTACTGATTCACTACGTTAGTATTTCAAAGAAGATCTAAGTATTTGGAGGACTTAATCACAACATGGCACGCACCATACCAAGTTACTCATACAAGTGTATTAAATTGAGCTGTCCAATGCATACTCTCTGAAATGGAGTCAAATAATCTTCTCCAAAGACAGACAAAAGAAGTAATAACCCAATTTTCTTCTCTTTCAATAAAAATAATTAAACCTAGTTCATGCTTAATTGCATCCAACTTGTTGAAGACTCAGTGTTGGATCACAATGATGAGTTTCTCTTGGATAATCTGTACTGGACTTAAGCCATTTATTCCATGAATGTATTAATAATTCTCAAGTAGTTCAAAGGGCCATACAGTTGTAATTTTAACCACAACGTAGTAGAAAAAACAGATGCAGCACTGCAATGAGAATCAAAACAACTTGGAAGCCAGTTCCAACTCTGGCACTTACTTTCTAGAGCAATGACATCATTTCTCTAGGTCTCTATATCCCCAACTCTAAAACAGAAACATTAAGACTTGGCCTTACTACCACACAGAATCAAAGAGGGTACTTCAAAGTCCTTTGTAAATTGCTAAATCCCATATAAACTGATAACAATACTAGTCAAAATAATTTTCTATTAAGAATTTTACCCAACAGCATTGTATAGGTTCATTTTATGAAGTTTTCAGGTCACAATATCAAGAATTTATAAAAATTTAAAGACTCTGGTTAAATTTTATATCACGATGAAAACCAAAGTTTGCTTGATTTTAAAAAAAGCCATTTGAGGTAAAATTGCTGCCTTAATTTATAATCTTAAACTGGTTTTTAGCATTTTAGTAACACTTTTTACTTATCATGTGCTTTCTGGTTTGTTGCTGTTTTCATACAAGGCACCTGATGAGAGTGAAAGTGGCAGACCAGGCAGTCATAGCCTCCCAGAACACCCCGACCCTTCCTCCACTTGTCACAACACAGCAAAACAAAGCTGAGCTCCATTGAGCTGTCCTCATTCTCATCAGCCCTATCCCACCCAAGGGACCTGAGTAGTGTGCATGGATGCGTGTATATGTGGGTTTGCCCACTGTCCTGTGCACCACACACACATATCCACACATCCATTCATTCAAAGACCTTAGGAGGTAAATACTGTTTTTACCTGTATAGACTAAGACAGTGAAGGACAGAGGCTGACCAGCTGAGGCCATTGAGCAGGCCCTTGCCAGAGCCTGAATGAAGACCCAGAAAAGTTTGCTGTGTCATGCAAGCATGAGTCTCACCATGCAGTTCAGGCTGTCCCTGAACTCACTATGTAGCCCAGGCTGGCCTCAAACTTGCAGTGATCTTCCTGCTTCAACCTCCCAAATGCTGGAATTACAGGCGTGTGCCACCACACTTGGCCAAGCATGAATCTTAACAGATACAATACTCAAGGGAAAAGGTACAAAAAGTACAGAAAATGACTTAAACAAAACAACTAAATGATATGCTGTTCGAGGAAAGACATAAGTAAAAGTTAGAGAAAATCAAAGGCATTACTATAAACACAAATGTGGGGATGGGCCAAGGATGCTGGGGGAAGGAAGGTACTTAAAAAGGCCTCAGGGAACCTCACTAGACTGGACACTGTCCTGCTTAATGGGCTACGGTCAACGGTACATTTTATTGCTGTTACCTATGACCTATTTATATGCTTCAATTTATGTTTATGTGCCCAACACTTTATAATACTTTAAAATATTAATCAATAAGGTATCCAAATTCCTTGATGGATTCTGGACTTGTGATGTATGTATGATTAGGCTGGAAAAATCACTCTCTGTTTGCAGGGTAGAGCAAAAGGCCAGGGTCAGCAGAGGCATGGCAAAAATGCATCACCCCTCCCTTGGTGGGCCACAGTCCCCAGCATGGTTGGCTGCCTTCTGTACTTGACCCTTGTTTCAGAGCCCTACCTACAGGAGCCCAAGAACTTGAGAAAGACAGAAAGCATGTGGTTGGCAGCAGTACCCATCAGCACTATGCTAGGGGATCCCTGGAGTTCTCTAAGCCAGAACTCTGGGATCTCCCAGCTGCGAATACTGGTGCCTCTTTCCAAATACTCAGTACCTGTTAGGTTTGAGGCATCTGTGGAACTCAGCTGTAACCACTGCCGTGCATCAGCGTCAGCCACAGCATCTGTGGGTGTGCTCAGGTCAGGGTCCTCCTCACACACCTGCCATGGGTTCACCAACAGCTCGGCCTCACTGCTATAGCCCACAGCTGTGTCGCCGCTGGCACTTTCACCTAGCATAGGAAAAGGATCACATTTTGACACCAGCCAGATGGAGGCCAGTAGGTCACAGTTACCGAGAGCAAGCAGCTGAACACCAACAGCTGATGCAGAAGAGGTGGCTGAGGGCTGGGGCAGAACCTGCAGAACCAGATAGGGTACAAGTGGTGTCCCAATGGGACGTGATCAACAGTCAGTCTTCCATGTACAAGGGACTGAGGGTGTGAGTGATTTCTCACTTCACACATTATTCGAGGGAGTTCTCTTTATAGTGTTTTCACTCTGTTACCTCTCACACACCAAAGACTACAGCAGGCCCCCAAGTTTTCCGTTGAGACTGAGTCACTACAGAATGAGGGAGAGTGGAAAAATGCAGATAACCAGTCCACCACAAGTGCCAGTTTATTCTGTTGGCAAAAGGGTCAAATGATGTCACATGCTACAAGCCTGCTTTGTAGATGCACAGTAAACAGACAGTGAGTCATCTAGGGTCATTTGGGGAGGAGGTTCCCTGCCAAAACAGATTTCTACAAAAGAAATTATTTTCTTCAAACACTACAATACTCTAATTTGTCCTAATATAACCATGCTGAGCTACAAAGATATCCACAGTTATCTTTTTAGTCTGACACAAAACAAAGTTTCCATTCCTAGGAGTCCTCCCTCCACTTCCTGACTTTGTCTACCTGCCCACTTTCTGCCTGTTCCCTGAACCTGCAGCCCATAGCCCCTGGCCCTCCTTTCTGATCTGCTGCTCTCCATTCACTCAGTAGGTCTTGAATGCCCTTTCCACAGAGCTCTAAACCACAGAGGGAAGGCAGAGCACTAGGGGACCCCTCTGCACCCCAGAGGGGCCCTGGATGTGCAAGAGCAACCAGGCTACCCTGAGAAGCAGGAAGCTTGCACCTGACTTCAGGAATGTAGCGGATGGTATATGATAATCTGTTCTAGGATTCCAATGATATTTCATTTTAACAAATTTATCCCACTGACTTCAAGGCACTTCCTTAGCTTTGTGTTCCAGGCCTGTAGGAACTTTCTGGGGCAATAATTTTCTCTTCTGTGTCTGTTTGCTGACTCAGGCCCTAAGCCCTTCTGTGCCTCCCACCTAGAAAAAGGCCCAAGGGTAGAAAGACAGACCCCTTAGGTGCAGGCAACTGCCTAGGACAGTTTTATTAACTGGATTAACCTTACATGAGCCTGGGTTCCAGGAAGAAAGACATTCTATTTCACAGCCATGTCTTTCTAACTGGTAAGATATCACTTCAGTTAGAAAGTAAAAAAGGAAGCAAAACATATTAGGAACACAGAGTTGGATGATCACAAACCACATTTCCTGGAACTTACTCTTCTGTCTTTCCCTACATTTTCCTTGTGTCTGCTGCAAATCATCCTGCAGATCCAATTCAGCAGGGCTGCTGCTTCTTCGAACTAAGATCTTCAGACAAAAAGAAATATTGCATTTATTACAGGAAAGTTAACATTTTTAAAGATTGTAAAATTCCTAGACCACATTTCTAAATGAAAAGAAACAATAATAATAGCAACATAACATTTAATGATGTTTTCCATTTGAAGGGTATTTACAAATTACTAAAACTGAATTATAAAATACTCAAGATCTGAAACTTTAATTTATATCCTCTACTTTGTCCACTGACATCCAACTAAATGGAACTAAATGGAACTAGAAAGAACGCCAAATTATATGGTAGTAATTTATTTTAAAGTTCTGTTTGTTCCCCTGGTCAAGTAGACAAGTGGTGTGAAAATAATTCTCCATCAGACCTAAGCTACCGCCAGAGCGTACAGGCAAGGAAAGTACAGACCCCACCCATACTGCCCAAGGCCCACACAGTGCTTTCTTGGTTAAATGTGCTAAACGTGGCTTAACACTTAACACTGCTTCACTTCTGCTAAACACCAAAGACTGAGAAATTGAGAGGCAATCTGCATCCTCTAAACCCCCTCAATTTGCTTGGAAAGACAAAATATACACAAATTATACAAAATTATAATGTACATAAGCAAAATATGTGAATAAATTTTCTCTGAAAAGTATGCAAAACAAAGCATTACCTTAATCAGCTGACAGTTACAGGAGAGCTGTTCAAGGAGGCAATAGACATGAAGAGGCAGAGGGAGGGCAGGAGGGGACTCAAGGCAGGAAGCGAAGTGGCAATCAGCAAGTTCTACGTGCAGGAAAAGCAGCATATTGCAGCAGGCCATGCAGGGCAGCCAGGTGCAGAAGGAAAAAGACAAGAAGGAACATGGACCTTCCAAAAGAGGCAGCTGCTGGTAAGCCTTCGACATGAGATTTAGGACTTTCAACCTAATATTAAGAAATGAGCAACTATATGTTCCACACAACAGTTCAGCTAAAATCATAACTAGTAAAGATAAGGCTAGTTGTTACCTGTGGGACAGATGTGGGTGAAGAAGAAAATTGCTATGGAATCTGATGAAGATTCAGGAGAGAGGGGGTAGGGCTTCTGATGGTGGAAAAAGCAAAGAGAAATAAGAGAAAAGCTGCAGAATGACAGGCTAGAGATTATACTCAGGTGAACATGGTGTGAAAAATAATTAAATGACAGAAGGGCATAAATCCAGAGGATAAAGAGAATGACTGTGACAAACGGGGAAAAGGAAAGAAGGAAGGACAAAAGAAGGAAGGAAAGAATGTAGAGAAGAATTTGAGAAAGTTTTTGATATTTTAATTTTTATCTTTGGACTGAATATCCAAAAAGAATGTGCTCTAAATGGGCAACAAATATCCAGGACTGGTGAAATAGAGAATAAAGTCAGGAATGAAGGTATAAATTTAAGATCCTCCAACCGGGCGTGGTGGCGCAAGCCTGTAATCCTAGCACTCAGGAAGCTGAGGCAGGAGGATCGCTGTGAGTTCCAGACCAGCCTGGGCTACATAGTGAGTTCCAGATCAGTCTC